AATGCTCTGTAAATGTCAATTAAATCCATCTGATGTTGTGTGTCATTTAGAGTCACTGTGTCCTTATTTATTTTTTGTCTAGAAGATCTATCCAGTAAGTCAGTGGGGTGTCAAAGTCCCCTGCTATGATGGTATTGCTGTTGATTTCTCCTTTAAAGTCCTCCAGAAGTTGTTTTTGTTTTCCAGCCTATGTGAGTCTTTTGTTCTGAGGTGGGTCTCTTGTAGACAGGATATATTTGGGTCATGTTTTCTTACTCATTCAGCTACCCTAAGTTTTATTTGTGGGTTTTTTAATGTGTTTTTATTGATTTCAGAGAGAGGAAGGGGGAGGAAAAGAGAAACATCAATGATGAGAGAGTCATTGATCAGCTGCCTCCTGCACGCCCCCTACTGGAGATGGAGCCTGCAAGCCAGGCATGTGTCCTCACTGGGAATCAAACCTTGACCACCTGGTTCATAGGTCAACACTGAGCCACTGAGCCATGCCAGCCAGGCCAGCTACCCTATGTTTTGATTGGAGCATATAATCCATTTATATTTAAGGTTATTATTGACAGGTACTTATCTATTGCCATTTTAATTCTTTATGCCTATGTTTCTCTCCCTATTTCTACTTCTAATTGCAGCAGTCCCTTTAACATTTCCTGCAGTGCTGGTTTGGTGGTGACAAACTCCTTCAGCCTTTTTTGTCTGGGAAGCTCTGTATTTCACCATCTATTTTGAATGATAGCCTTGCCGGATAGAGTAGTCTTGGTTTCAGATCCTTGCTTTTCATTACCTTGAATACTTCATGCCATTCCCTTCTGGTCCCTAGAGTTTCTGATGAGAACTCAGCTGACAGCCTTATGGGAGCTTCTTTGTAGGTAAGATTGCTTTTCTCTTGCTGCCTTTAAGATTCTCTCTTTATCTTGAATTTTTGGCATTTTAATTATAATGTGTCTGGGTGTGGGCCTCTTTGGATTCTTCTTGCTTGGGACTCTCTGTGCCTCCTGAACTTGTGTGACTTTTTCCTTCACCAGGTTTGGGAAGTTTATTTCTTCAAACAGGTTCTCTAACCTTTGCTTACGTTCTATAGCTTCTGGCACTCTTATGATGAGAATAGTTACATTTCACATCATTCCACAGCTGCCTTCGACTGTCCTCCTGTTTTTTGTTTTTTCTTTTTGGATCTCTGATTGAATTTTTTTCTACCCTGTCTTCTAATTTGCTGATTGGATGCTCAGCTTCCTCTAATCTGCTGTTTATTCCTTCCAATGTGTTATTTCTGCTATGTCATTCTTAATTTCCTTCAGAGTTTCCATACCATTTTTCATGCTGTTGAGCGTTCTTATGATCAGTATTCTGAACTCTATATCTGATACATTGTTTATCTCCATTTTCTTTAGCTATTCTTCTGGAGACTTCTCTTGTTCTTTCATTTGGGACTTGTTTTCTTGTCTCCCCATTTTCTCTGCCTGTTTGGGTTTGTTTCTATGTATTCGGTAGATCTGCCAGGACTCCCAGTATTTTGGATGGTCTCTGGTGCAGGCCAATGTCAGGCACTGTTTGTGACTGGCCTTGAGTACCCTGTTTGAAGCTTTCCACAATCCACAGCTTGTAGTTCCCTCTGCTGAGGCTGGGTGTGTTTGGACAAGACCAAGACGTGCACCAAGATTTGCTTTTCCAAGCCCTGGGTCCAGAAGCAGATCAGGCAAAGATTCCAAGCACCCAGATACTGATTGTTATTCAGTCTCTTAATGAGCCTCAGGCTGTAGAAACTCTACAGAGTGGGGTGAGAGGTTGTCAGTGAGTGAGGCAATTGCTTCCCCCTCAGACAAAAGCTGCTTGGGTGGTATATGTCTGCCTGAGAAAGATGTCCTCTGCAGTATGGGGTAATGACTCAGCACAGGAATCCAGAGGGGTGCTCTCTGAGCCCACAACCCTGGCTTCTCCTCACACAGCTCTAGTCCACTCTGTCCTCCCTCTGCCACAGCCCAAGAGGAGTGACTACACACAAAACTTTGTACATTGGCCCTTTAAGAGGGGGCCTGCATTTCCAGCCATCTCTCCCTGGCAGACAGAAACCCTGCTGCTTTTCACAGCCAGATGTTATGTGGGCACCTGTCTCAGTTCTGGGCTAGGGAGCCCAGCTCGGGGTTTAGGCCCCCGAGTTCTCACTGGGAAATCCCCACAGCTGATCTATCCCTTCAGACCTTCAGCTGCTACCTGTGGGAGCCCCGGCAGCCCTCAGTTCTAAACTCCATCCCAGTGAGGACTGATGTCACTGAGGTGCTGGGGACCAGCCCAGGGCAGGTGAGGGCAGAGTGCAGTGTGCACAGGTGTGGAGTTGGAGGTTTTCCCTATTATTGCCAAGTATCGCCAAAGCTGTGCTAGCAGGGAGGGGTGTGACTCATATGGTCGGAACATCAGTGTGTGTGAGCATTTGTTATGGGTGTGCTGTTTGTATGTACACATCTCTCATCCCATCCTCTACGGAGGAATGTACCACTTATGAGTTTCTGAAACACGGATGCTACATTTTACCCAATGCCTCCTGGCCACCTTGGGGACACCACGCCCCCACCCTCCCCTGGCAGCTCAGTGTGGGTTCCTGCAGCTCTTAGCAACACACCATTTTTCCATCTTGGAGTGACAGTAGTAGTTTTATTTCTTAAAATGCGTTCCATGCCCTGGCCAGTCAGGCTCAGTGGGTTGGGTGCCATTGTGCACCAAGAGGTTGCTGGTTCGCTTCCTGGTCAGGGCACATGCCTGGGTTTCGAGCTTGACCCTCAGTAGAAAGTATGCAGGAGGCAGTCGATCGATGTTCTGCTCTCACATCAGTGTTTCTCTCTCTCCCTCTCCTTTCCTCTTTCTAAAATCAATAAAAATATTTTTTAAAGTATACCAAATCATACTGCTATTTTGTGATGTTTATGTAGCTATTCCTTAGTGATACTGGTCTGCGTGTTTGTTGTCATTTTAAATATTTTTGAGTGCATTTTGTCCAGTTTTGGGACCAATGATATAGTTGCTTCCTTAAAAAAACACGTTTGGAACTTCTGTGTTCTCCCGGGCTGGGGCAGTCCAGAGGGATTGGGTTACCTGTTTATTGAAAGTGCCAGATCTTCCTTGTGGTAAATCTGTGCTACTGTCCTGGGTCTTCATTACTGGGTTACTAGTGTGTTAATCACTGTTCCCCAGAGAAACAGAACCAGAGGGTAACATAGGTCGATTGGGGGAGATTCACTGTAAGGGAGGGGTTCGTAAGGTCATGGCCACCGGGAGGGCCCGTTTGTGGGTCGTTACACCCGAAGGTCCGGGCCAGGCACACCAGTGTCCAAGGGCAGGAGAAGAGGGACATCCCTGCTCAGTCCTGACAGCCATTGCCTCCCTGGCTTTTGTCCTATTCAGGCCTCACTGGAGTGGATGGGTTTCGAGTCCCTGTTCAAATGCAAATTTCTACTAGAAGTAAGGTTGTGCCAGCTGGCAGGCATCCCTGAGCCCAGTCAATTTGACACACAAATTAACTGTCACACAGGGGCCACCTTTACTCTCTGCCCTGTGGTAATTTTTAGTAACTTCCATTTACACAAAATCATCTCTTTTATTCATTTACTTACATAAAATTAGGTAATGTTTTCTTATAACTATTGCCTCCCTGATTCTCTCTCCCTAAAGGGGTTTTGCCCCCAATTCCACTGTGTGTGTGTGGAGGGGGGTCCCATCCAACAAGCAATTCTCAACAGCTGCTGGGATTCCTACAATTCACCTCACCTCTCGCACCATCTACCCAGGGCAGCGTCAGAGTCCCAGGTGAAGGGCTCCGTCCCACAGGACAGACCACCCTTCAGACACCGGTCCCAAGCCCAGGCTGTCGCATATGCTGACCACCTGCTATGAACCCGAGGCTCCCAGGCCCCTCCTCGAGTTCCACCGACTCCCTGGAACAGAGGAATTCCTCCCGTACTAGGTCACACTGACTGTGACGGCGTGAGCGGGGGACAGCTGGGGAAGACCCGAGGCCGCCGGGGAAGGGCGGGGCTCCTGCGCCCTCCAGCGTCTCCCTCCCTGGCCCTCCTGTGGGCTCTGTGGTGGCTTCACTGCACAGGCAGAATGGATGAACCCACTGACCCTTGGGGACTGACCTCCCTCCAGCCCAGAGATCCGGGGTGGGAACCCATGTCCTCCTGGCCGCCAGCCCCATCCCCAGGTGCTTCCCACAGTCCCCTGGCCGCAGGTGTGGTGGGGGGGCTGGAGGCCGTTTCTCTCTCGGTCTGGAAGCCTTGCCGGGCACCGAGGACGGTGGTGCTCCCGCTGCCCCGATGCCGGCTCCAGGTCCTGGCCTGTGTCACAGCCGGACGGACAGGTGCTCAAGCCTGCCCCTTCCCAGCACCACCCGCCCTGCTTCCTGTCGGTGCTGCGAGCCATGTTATTACTTCAAAGGCAGCTCGTGGATGTGTTTTGCATTTTTGCTGTTTTTCTGCTCTAATTGATAAGTCGGTTCTTGCAGGTTTGTGTTCATCCGACTACATCACCCGCACACTTCCTGTCTGGCCACCTGGGCCGGAGAATTATGACCCTGGTTTAAGGTTGGGGTTTCCTGTGGCCTCTGCTCCGCTATATGCCACAGTTTCTAATACGTTCAGTTCTAGATTTTTTTTTTTGAAGCCAGACTTGAAAGATTGAGAGAGAAACTGGGAAGCACCCGTAGGTGTCTCCTGAGAGCCTGGCCCCAGCATAGAGCTGGACCGGCCTGTGCTGCACCCACAGCCCCCAGCCCCCAGTTCCTACTTCTCACTCGCCACCAACCCCAAAGGAAGCCTGTTTTCCTCCCTTTGCATGACAATAGAAGTTCTCTAATGGCAGGGACCCAAGTCCCAGGACAACACATGCAGTTATGAAGTAAAAATAGCAGCACAGAAAGCAATCTGTGTCCTTCCTGCGGCTCCAGTCTCTGTCTCCTCCAGGTTAGTGTTTGCCCTGAAACCGGAGGTTAGAGGTAAAGAACAAGTCCCTGTGGCCACACGTAACACTTGTACATTTTATTTAATTAAATCAGCCGTGTACACGTTGCAGCTATGTGTGGTTAGTGTTGCATTTTTCCATTAACTGATACATGCCCTCATAGATATACTCAATTAGTGTTATCACCATGGGAACAAGATGCTGATTCGTCAACTGAAAATTCACTTCTTCTCACAGTATTCAAGTTTTTTGATTACACAGCAAAATTCAAAATCAAAGAAAGGTGAATAACCATTACGTTGTCACACAGACGTCATCTGCACTGCAAACTACACAACAGGAACGCTTCCTTGAGCTCCAGCCAAGGTCTGAGGAGAGGCCAGCGTGTCCCCCAAAGTCTTGCCACAGGCCCCTCACATTTTGGCTGCCAAAGAACGATGCTTTATTTCCTGCCCAATGGCCAGAAGTGCTGGCACTGGGGGTTAGGAGACGTGGCTCGTGGACTCCCTCCCGGGAAATCCCCGGGCGACGCGACCTGAAATGACGCAGGGCAGTGTGTCCGTGTTTGTGGCATGGGAGCAGTGACTCATTTTTGCACAGCAGGCAAGACCAGCTAGAGTTGGGAAATGTCCCCTCTGGGAGGTCAGACTCTGGCGTTTGTTTTTAAATCTCATCTCCATTGGATATACTTTTCTTTAACAAATAACTGATCCAAAGATGTATACTGTGTATATGAATATACGTGTGAATATATGAGATTAAGATGCCCCACAGCTTCAACACTAGGAATAGGACGGGGGTGTGGCATTGCTCAGAGGACTGAGGTCCCTTCTCTGAAATAACGCGCAGGAAATGCACAGCTGCACTTCACAGTTTTCAAGGGAGTTTGGGTTTCAAATAAATAAACCAGAAGTTTTAACCAAAACCAATTTTTTAAGGGTTTCTCCATCGCCCTCAAGCTGAAAACCAGCTGGAGAGTGCAGAAGGCTTGCTCTGGGTACGAATGAAAACCATCAACGTGACTGGAAGGGGGTTCTGACGTGGTGTGGGTTTAAATGCTACATGCAGGTGTCAGCGAAGATATAAACCCGGAGGAGGAGGGGAAACCGCCCCGCCCCGGCGCGGCCAGGAGCTTAATCTGTGTCGCGGGCAGATCCTGTTTCCAATGACTTATGTACAGTGCAGCGGCCAGAGGAAGGGCCACCGATAAGACAGCGTGGTTTGCCAAAGCAGCAATGAGACCTGGAAACTACAGTAGTTATAGCTTTGTAGATACCCTGCCAACGTGTCCGAGATCTGAAAGACCGGAAGATGCTAGAAGGCCACAGGATGCAGCTGCTAGCACCTGGCTACCCCCCTGCTCCCTCTCTGCCCTGGTGGGGTTGCCGGAGTCCAGGGGGTGTCCAGCTTAACAAGCCTCCAAGGGGGCAGTTCCCTGGGCAGGTCCCCCTCAGCTAGGGCAATGGCTATACTGGATTCCTAGGCCTGTAGGTGGCAGTGCCCCTCCTGCACAGAACCTGCCATCGCTCGCCTGTGTCAGCAGCATCCTAACCCACCATGCGCAGCCACTTCGAGGAGCCTTGGCTCCCCGATGCCCAGTGTGGTTAGGCCAGGCAGTGGCTCTCAGCTAATGTGTGTTCATCTGAGCATTTTCTATGTACACTGTACCGGACTCCCTTCGAGGGACGCTGTCATCACGGGGAGAGGTCTGCAGGGAGCCCCGGAATCGATCGATGGCTTCCCATGGAGCTGTGCAGAAGCGAAGGACGAGGGGCGGCCAGTCCCCAGGGCAGCCCAGACGCCAGGACTTGGGGGACACAGCACCCAGGATGAAGGATGCTATCTTTGGTCACAAATTAGCTTCAGTTGAAGGGGGTGGGGACAAACTAACCAATTGCTGTGTATGTGGGGTGTGGGGCAGGCAGGTCGCCCTGCTGACAGAAGGGGAGCCGCGTATGGAGTGGCGAGCAGGCTCTGGCGTGAGCACTGGGCGCCCTCACTGGGCCTCTTGCTCCGGGTCCTCCCTGCAGAAATGCCGCAGAAGCCGCTGGAGGTCGCGCTGGAGGTCGTCCTGCTCCAGGGCCTCGGGCACATCCTCCAGGTGCTCCAGGTGCACACGTTTCCCATGCCCGTCCTTCACCGCAGCCCTCGTCTGCCTGCTGGCCTTACTGAGTGTCGTCCTGCGGGCAGACAAGGCGGGGTCAGGCTCCCTTCACCGCCCACACGCCACCATCGCTCAGGCACGGGCTCAGGGGCGAGACTCATCCCAAGAATGTGACTCCATGCAGAAAGGCTAAGAAAAACCATTTTTAGTTTATTTAAAGCTCTTTAGCTGCTGCAGTGGCTACTATTATTGTCCTGTCTCCTTATGGGACAATGACGCTGTGGCTAGTCCACTCTCCGTCTGTCCACTTGTAAATAAAAGTCTACAGCCCTCAGCATGGACATGGTTCACACACCAGGCACTATTATTATAGCAACAAATCAGGAACTTGAATCTCAGAGAATTTAAGCAACGCCCAGGGAACTAGCACGGGGAAGGTGCAGGGGGTGAGTCCAGCACCGGTGTTCACACGCCTCCTGTGGGACCGTGCAGGGGGGCCGCCTGGCCAGCTTCACCCCGCACTGCCCCACGGATCCCCAGGGCCCAGAGCTGGACATCTGCCCTCAGCCACGTTCTCAGCACCCTGCCTCCCGACGGCTCAGTGCGTCCACCAAGGTCACCTGGAGATGAACCTGGTGCGCTTTCGGGTCTCCTGGGGCTCTCGCTTCCGCCGGCCGTCCTCGCTGCCCTCACGCCTCACCTCTCCCGCCCACCTTTCCTTCCCCACGACACGAGCTATTTCCTATCTAAAAACACCTGAAATTTGTTCCTCTTGATAGAAAGGTCACATTTGGTTCCAAAGGTGGAATCAGATTATGGTTTTGTAACTATTCAGCACCCATATTTGTTTTCTCCAAAAAGGCAGATATGTGGCTCTTCCTGCCAGGAGCTCTAGAAGCCTCTGCCACTCCGGGGCTGGGGACGAGCGTCGCCCAGGCCCTGCCCCGGAGGTCTGCACTGCCTGTGTGATGGCAGTGCTGTGAACTCCTGCCAGTCCCGATAGCGCAACCAAGTCACTCCTCTGTGTCCCGGCAGCTGAGGATGGCGTCCACGACAGTGACATATGCACCGCTGAGTCCGTAACACAGGGCCTGGCAAGCTGTCTGTACCCCGCTGGGCTCAGGGCTTCAGCTGAGGATTCAGGAGGAGCTTGTCTCGCCCTTAGACAATGTGCGACCTCGTGCTGGGCTGTGGGTGCTGTGGACCCCTCTGAATGACGGGGGGAGCTGGGCTGTGGGTGCTGTGGACCCCTCTGAATGACGGGGGGAGCTGGGCTGTGGGTGCTGTGTGTCCCTCCGAATGACGGGGGTAGCTGGGCTGTGGGTGCTGTGTGTCCCTCGGAATGACGGGGGGAGCTGGGCTGTGGGTGCTGTGTGTCCCTCGGAATGACGGGGGGAGCTGGGCTGTGGGTGCTGTGTGTCCCTCGGAATGACGGGGGGAGCTGGGCTGTGGGTGCTGTGTGTCCCTCGGAATGACGGGGGGAGCTGGGCTGTGGGTGCTGTGTGTCCCTCGGAATGACGGGGGGAGCTGGGCTGTGGGTGCTGTGTGTCCCTCGGAATGACGGGGGGAGCTGGGCTGTGGGTGCTGTGTGTCCCTCGGAATGACGGGGGGAGCTGGGCTGTGGGTGCTGTGTGTCCCTCGGAATGACGGGGGGAGCTGGGCTGTGGGTGCTGTGTGTCCCTCGGAATGACGGGGGGAGCTGGGCTGTGGGTGCTGTGTGTCCCTCGGAATGACGGGGGGAGCTGGGCTGTGGGTGCTGTGTGTCCCTCGGAATGACGGGGGGAGCTGGGCTGTGGGTGCTGTGTGTCCCTCGGAATGACGGGGGGAGCTGGGCTGTGGGTGCTGTGTGTCCCTCGGAATGACGGGGGGAGCTGGGCTGTGGGTGCTGTGTGTCCCTCGGAATGACGGGGGGAGCTGGGCTGTGGGTGCTGTGTGTCCCTCGGAATGACGGGGGGAGCTGGGCTGTGGGTGCTGTGTGTCCCTCGGAATGACGGGGGGAGCTGGGCTGTGGGTGCTGTGTGTCCCTCGGAATGACGGGGGGAGCTGGGCTGTGGGTGCTGTGTGTCCCTCGGAATGACGGGGGGAGCTGGGCTGTGGGTGCTGTGTGTCCCTCGGAATGACGGGGGGAGCTGGGCTGTGGGTGCTGTGTGTCCCTCGGAATGACGGGGGGAGCTGGGCTGTGGGTGCTGTGTGTCCCTCGGAATGACGGGGGGAGCTGGGCTGTGGGTGCTGTGTGTCCCTCGGAATGACGGGGGGAGCTGGGCTGTGGGTGCTGTGTGTCCCTCGGAATGACGGGGGGAGCTGGGCTGTGGGTGCTGTGTGTCCCTCGGAATGACGGGGGGAGCTGGGCTGTGGGTGCTGTGTGTCCCTCGGAATGACGGGGGGAGCTGGGCTGTGGGTGCTGTGTGTCCCTCGGAATGACGGGGGGAGCTGGGCTGTGGGTGCTGTGTGTCCCTCGGAATGAAGCCCTGAGGCTCGAGTATAGGAAGCTTCCTCATCTCAGAGGCGCCTGTGAGCCGTGTGAGCCGCCACACACGTCAGCTCCCACTGCGGCACTTTCCAGGGTTGGAGGGGACACCGGACAGGACCCTTCACCTCACTGACTATCAGGTTTGCAGGCTCATAGCAGCCGTGCAAGCTCCCTAATGACAACGTTCCTCTTCTTCCCAGAGACGGGAGACGCCGGCTGGGACGTGTCCACGAGACTTTCTGCTGCAAAGCTAAGAACATGTGAGGAGTGGTCACCACACTGCGGGGAGACGTGGGGAGAGACCAAGGCAGACGCCAGCGTCCACACGGCCCATCCTGAGGACGGCACTGGGCGCTGCTCGGTGAGGCCCGGCCACGGGCACACAGGCTGCCCAGGCGCTTTCTGAGCTGACTAAGCGCCTGCGTCGCCAGGCACACTCAGGTCCACGGCACCACATGCAGAACCACGGACCAGCCCATTAAAGCACACGTTCTGAGCTGCAGGTGGCAGCCACGCAGCAGCTCGTGAGCCACTGGCCGGGGTGTCTTCTCACCCCCCTCGACCTATCGGCACGGTGGACGTCCCTCGGGCTGGCCTGAGTCACCCAGGGTGGCTGTGGGAATAGGCGTCCACTGTCCTCGCGCCTGAGTGTCACTTCTAAAGCACCGAGAGGACCCCTGCAGTCTGAATCCCTGACTCCTGGGGGCTGCGGCTCCGGGGCTGCGGGCGCGTGGAGGCCCCATCTCTGCTCTCTTAGGTGGGAAGCGTTTGGAGGTGTTAGTGGGCAAAGCAGCACCGCATGCTAACCCAAACCTTTGAGTCACCGATCCGTCCTTGTTCAGGATCTCACTCGCTACTAAACTGGGAGCGTGGACTTTCGCGTGGCTACCTGTGTACCTCAGAGCCTGAAGTGGAGAAAAGGAAAGGGGGAGACCGTCACCCGCGGCGCACCCAGCAGCCCGCTGCTCTGCGTCCCGGCGTCCGCGCCAACAGGCGCACGGGGAGCCTCAGGTAGTGAAGCCCACTCCGGAGCAGACAGAACCAAGTTTCACTTACACCCCCGGCCGTGCGGAGACCTGTCCTCCTACTTGACAAAAGCTGCTGACCAGCCTCGTGTGGGGCTTAGCCTCCTCCCTCCTCACACCTCCTCCCCGCAGCTGAGACATGGCAATGGCCAGACGCAAAATGGGCCAAAGCAACTCAGGTAATCCGCTTCGGGTCCCTGAGGCTGCTGGTCAGCTCTGAAGAACGCGACGCGTCTGCGACTCGCTGATACTCCCCCAAACCGACGTGCGGAAGAGCCACACCTGCAGCACCCACTCAGTGGCATTAGTCTGGAGACATCTGCATGCATCCACGGTTCCCATCAAACCTGTGCCCCCGAATTCAGGTGCTTTTCCTCCCGGATGCTGGAAAAGGGACATTCTGTCTAATCCAAGGCCCCCGCTGCTATCCAGCCCATCACGGCCGTGGCAGCAGCAAGGGCAAGCCCCTGGGGGAGGCTCGCGCAGGGCACAGGGAGTTCTTTGCACGTCCGCTGCTCCCGACTTACGACGTTCTGGCCTCTGGATGCCCGGGTCTCGGAGTCGGAGTAAGGGGGTGTGTCTGCCTCACAGCCCCACCTCCCAGGTACTGGAGATCAGAACTTCATTCTGAACACGGGTTTGTTCATGGGCGTAACGTCTGCGGATTTTCTCAGTGCCCATCACTGGGCAGATGACGCCAGTGAGAGGAGGGCCTGCAGCCTGCCCGGCTCCCTCCCTCCCTGACGGGGTGCAGGGCCGCCACCCGGGCCAAGCACGAGGTGCTGACTCAGCTGCAGCGACCCCGGCATCTGGAGTTTTAAAAGCTCTGAGGGTGCCCAAGGCTGAGGGACACCACGTCACCGTAGGGCTATAAAGTCCGGAACGTCCTCTCTGGGGCTGTCCCACACCACTGTGAGCACCTAGGAGCAAGGACGCGATGACAGACCCTTTCTTTTCAGACACACGGCAGGGACACGAGGAGCTGCTCTCTACCTGTTCAAAGTCCTCTTTGGCTGAGGGAAGATCAGCGGCAAAGCGGGGGTCCCCCAGGCGCTTCTCCTTCCTCTCTCCATGCACCACTGTGGTTTTGATGACTCTGCTGACTCGTCGGCCTTCCACGGGCTCAGCCTGGAACCGGGAGGCCTCGCACGGAGCGCCGGACTCAGACAGAGTCACCTAATGGGCGAAGGACACAAGCGCGGCTCTGACCGCCCAGGAACAGCGGTGCGCTCTTCTAGGATGAAACAAGCTTATGGAGGCCACGATGTTGCGCACCAACTTTCCGGAAAACAGAATTTTGGAAAAGAGAAGCTGATAGGAAAACCCCCCGTAATCACTTGGCAATGTTGCTGTAACAGCTCTGTGTACACAGCAAATCAAACACCTAATGAGCCACTTAGCAACCTGTCGGGAGTTTTGTAAGCCATACAGTGTGGACAGGACACCCTGTGTGTGGCTCTCTGCCCCACGTGGAAACGGTCAGCTTTGCATTTTGAAGATAAAATTGCCCCTAGGATGGAACTCTGAGAGAGGTGAGGGGCTACACGGCCTCTTTCCGGGGACCCTCACACGCATCATCATAAAAGTGTGGGGACGGCACAGGTTTTGTGTCAGAGTGAAGGTGTCAGAGAGCAAGATGAACTGTTGAGGGTCCTGACTGGGGCTCTGAAACGCAGCATGTGCCCGGGGGCACCGCATGCACACAGGGGCCTTTCCTGTCACTGCCTGCCGGCAGACAAGAGTCCAGTCTACTGGGCTTGAGTAGGGGGCTTCTGCTGTGGTCCACTATGAACTGAACAGAAAACAGAAACAGAAGCACAAGGACATTGAGTGTGAGGCTACAACGGTCCCTGGTGGCTATTTTAAAATCCCAGGGCACCATGGGGAAGAGTGAGTGTGCTGCTAAGAGCCGTGTGAGGGAGACAGAGGCCACAGGGCCATCTACCTTGTCTGGTCCCATGGTGCACTCCACGTTGCATGTCCACGTCGCACATTCACATCGCACGTCCATGTCACATGTTCTGTCACACGTCCAGGTCGCACGTCCACGTCGCACGTCCACATCATGTGTCCACATCACTCCCCATGTCACACTCTACGTCACACTCCATGTAACACCATCAGGTGCCCACGTTGCAGCCCATGTCACACCCCATGTCACATGTTCACGTACTCCACCACGCAGGCCACGTCACAAGTCTACGTCACACTCCGTAACATACTCCACGACGCCAGCCTCGCAGCACCAGCGGCCTCACCTCTGACTGCTCGGTGTCGCTCTTCAGCACCACGCGTTTTATGACTTTGGAGTAGCCGTCCCCATCCTCAATGCTGACGGGTTCCTGGGGCTGTCCCTGCAAGGTGACCTCCTCCCTCTCCACGCCATCAGGGGATACATACCGCCTGATGACCTTCCTGGTGACCTGGAAGAGACGGCATCCACACATCTTGTCTGTGAGCGGCAGGACTGGCCTCAAGGACCCTCAGGTCAGAGGTCGCCCTGCAAGGACACGGGGACTCTACCTTCTTCACCACGGTGTGCCCTTGCTCGTCCACGTACTGCTCCTCCGTGACAGTCTCCGGGGGCATGTCAGGCACATCGTCGCCCTGCACAGAGACGGGCCGTGTCAGCGGTGGCCTTGACTGAGGGACCACCTGCTCCCGGGCCAGAGTGTGCGTGTGAGATGGTTAATGGGGACAGAGCGTTACCGGGGGCCAGACCCCGTCACAGCAGGTTCACAGAGAGGAAGGCAGGTGACCCCATGCTCAGGAGGCTCCAACCAAAGTCAGCACAATCACACACACAGGCAGGCGGCACATGCGGCAGGACAGCACAGTCACAGCGTCCCCGCGGTCGGAGCCTGCGGAGCGGCAACCGAGCTGTGTCCTTAGCATCAACACTCAGAAGGGTCGCATGGCTGCTTCCCGGCCACGCAGCAGCATGCAGGCCCCGCCGCTCAGCGCCAGCCACGGGCTGCAGGACACTGTCCCTGGTCCGGCGTCTCTGAGCAGGTGGTACCTGAATGATCACCCTCCGGCGGACAACCCTGGTGGTGACCATCGCCTCGTCGTCTGAGCTGGCCTCCAGCCCACCCAACTCAGCTGTGAGCTCCTGTAAGCAGGGAAGCAGGGTGGTCATCACGCTAGGGGCCGCCTCTGCCACGGGCTCTGCTTGAGCTCATGTGCATTTCTGGAGGTTTGTCCACTCCACTCTGGGGATGAGCCAGCAGAGGTGCGAACAACCATGCACGAGGCTCAAACTTCACAGAGAATGTGGCTTCCTGTTTGGTGGCATTGGAGTCTGTCTGAGTGTGCCAAGATCTGCCAGAGAAGCAAGCGGCTCACCCACCCTGCCTGGGCCTCACGCTCCTGGTAAGTACCAAGTGGGGACACAGGCCTCCCAGCTCTCAGGCTTCGGCCTGTAATGACCACTGCTGCCGGGAGAGATGCTCCCGTAGGACCGGGTTCCCTGCAGCCTCATCCAGCCAGCGGTGCACCCGGGGGGTGCCCTGGGGTGTCACACTCACTCTGCAGGACCCCAGCCAGGGATGGAGCAAGATTACAGCATGTGTCTCAGAAGCCACATATCAAATCACTCTTTCCTCATGGAATGTTATTCAAAAGAAAGAAAATCATTTTTCTCAATGGATTTTAAAATACCGCTTGTATTTCTATGTTCTTTTCTGCTAAAAAAAAAAAAGCACATAAAATCTAGATCAAGTTATACATTAAATATGCTCAGGACCCTGCTGCCTAGCAGCAGGGTCAGCGAGGAACCTGACTGACACCTGAGCCTCGGGTCAGGGCTGTGAGAAGTCAGGGTCAGAATTGGACAGGAGACGGGTGACAGGTGTTCACCAAGAACAGGGGATGGCCTGAAGCAGGTGGACACGGAGGGACCGTTTCAAGTCTACAGTTCAATGAGATTATGAATTCTTGGGCTAAATTTGCTAACTTTTAAGCTCAGACAGCACCTATGAAAGATTTTTACTAGAATTGATCTAAGCCAGTTATAGCGAGGTGAGTAATTCTGTGCAAAGGCTGACATGAAATAAAAATCCATTCGTGGGATGAATTCATGTTTCAGGTAGGTGCTGAGCCCGGGGACTTCTGATTTCAGTCGCAGTGCGGATGCCTCCTGCTGGCAGATGCCACCCTCACAGTGAACCAGCAAATGCAAGTCTACAGCCCAAAGACAGGCCGCATTACCCTTTCCCCAAAAGGTTTTAATTCTTCTGTCTAACTCACTCTTTCCTACTAAGGCGGACACTTGGACACACAGGATGTTTTTGAATTCTAACAGGAAAAATTACACCTAATTCAATTTGTACTAAGTTAAGTTGAACGGGAGCAGATTCACACTGTGTGTGAGAACCACCTAGGGAGCTCCTGGAAAGGCAGGTGCCTCCTCGGCCCTCCAGTTCAGGATTCTGAGGGGGCCATGGCCAGTCAGCGTGAGAGGCAGGGACCCTTCACACCTCATTTTGAGAATAAAAGGTTTAAACAAATTTCCTGTGATGGTCTCCACTGTCCACATGTCCTGGCTCCCTGCGTGAGAGGGGGCTGCATCTGATGCCACTGGCATTTGGGGGCAGCAACATGTTTAGGCAGAAAGTCCTTGGAACACGCCCTCCGGGGCTGAGCTTGTCCCCATGACTGTCACAGTGGGTTGAAGGTCACTGACCGGGATGCTGCTTTGCCCAGAGCTTTTTCCTTAGTTAAAGGGTTTTCAGTGATAACATTCGGGCCCATGGTCAAGGGGCTGCACTGGCATGGTGCCTCATGCTTTCCAGACTCACCGCTCCCAGATTTTCATAAGGATGGAGGAGCTCATATGGCCCAGGATCACTAAGTGGGCAAACCTGTGGTTTTGCAGTGAAGACCTAAGTCCTCAGAGAAATGACAGCCGGGAGAAGGCTGTGGCTGCTTCACATGCGCGGGACACACAGGGGGGCTCTTACCTTTTGAAAGGCTGAGTCTTCGCCCAGGTTTTCGAAGGCCAGTGGCTGCTCGTCAGAGGACTCCACTATCACGAGGCTGTTTTTCCTTGGAGAGCCAGCCTCCCTGAGCTCCGGGGGCTCCTTGGGCTCCTGCACCAGGGGCATGTCTGCCCGCTCCTCGGGGGACGGGGCCTGCAGGTGGGACCTGCCCTCCTCAGGGGCTCTGCTGGGAGAGCCCGGGGCTGCCGCGGCCTCCTCAGTGTCTGGCCCTTCTGTCCGTGGGGTCGTCACACTGAAAAGGAGAGGCCAGGTTAAAGTGGGAGGCACACCCCGCTCCCACTGACGCCAGTGCCTTGGGGGGAACAGGGGCCCTGCCTTCAGTCACAAAAGTCAAATAGGTTTTGTAACTTTGGCCAATAAATGAAATTTGAATAAAAATCCTGCATCAGGGACGCGTCAAGTTACAGCTCATTGGCGTACGTGGCTGGGGAAGATGCATTCCCAAGGTAAAAAGCACCCTGAAACGGACCTCCATCTCCTAATCTCTACCAAGTGCAGACATTACAATGCTATCGTATCTTTGCTAACTCGAAGGGATGCTGAAGAATCGAGGAGCTTTCCCTCACAGGGACCTGCAGGTATAAGGCTTCTGAAGCCAGAATCAAAACGGCAAAAGCTGTAAAAAGCAATAAATAAACCCCATGTTGATCTAGTTATTGACTGTAAGTGTGAAAGTCTTACTTCTGGGAAACTGTATGACTTGATGGAAAGACCTGCTGCCACTGGAACTTTCTGTACTGACGGTGTGGAGGGGCTCCGGGGCAACCGTTACCACCTCCGTCTCTGATGGGAGTGTTCTCTGCTTTTCCTCTGCTTTTTAAAAGCATGTCGGCGCCCCTCCACGGGCGGCCCTCTGAGGGCCCACCCCGGTTCCCGGCTTCCCTGGCTCCTGTCTTCTCCTCACCTCTTCTTGGTGCCCCTCCCGACATCCGTGGTGAACGGGGTGGCCCCACGGGGAGCAGGCCATTCATTACCTGCTTTCCCCACCTGTCTCCTGTTCCAGTGCCCCTGGCACAAAGCTCGCACAAAGACAAAGGACTGTGGGGGCAGGCTCCTGACACCTCTCGGATTTCAGGGCGGGACCAGCTTGCCCTTCTTGGATATCTTTTCTCTTTCTAGACAACAAGTGCCCTTTGAATGGTTCTCCCTGCCTTTGTAGCCCTGACGGGGACCAGCCTCTGAGTGCCGTGCTCTGCAGGCCCTCAGGGGCCAGTCTCCCCTCCCTGGGAGCGTCTGTGCTGCTTTAGTGCCTGTGGCGGGTCCCCCAGCTATGCAGAAACCCAGGTGCCTCCTCCCTGTGCCCCCTCCCTAACCCCTGCACCTCTGCTCATCCTGCGAACCCGCCACCCCGAGCACCAGAGCACCAAGGAGAGAGGCATGGCACCGGTCACGCAGAACCTTGTTCAAATGATGCTTCCAGAGGTACATCCTCGACCCGACCCGGACATGGATGAAGTGCGTGTAGCTATCATAACTGACGGGTGGTAACAGACTCGGGGGCCGGGGACGTGCCCCAGGTCACAAGCCTGGGCGCGGGAGCAGACACCCTGGCCCCACTGTGTCCTCACACTTGGCTTTTTCCTACACCCCTGGCATTTTCAGGTCATTAGAAAAGCACTAGGAAGGACAGACGCCTGCGGGCTTGTCCTCTCGCCCCCTTGGTGGCTCCATAGAAACTCACGAGCACTGCTGCTGGGGTTCAGGAGCTGGCTCCTTGGGTGTGGCTGCTGTCCCCGCCAGGCCCCGGATGTCCCTGTCCGTCCTGGGGGTGTAATCCTGGGACGCGGAGTAGCCGACGGAGAGGTCTTCGTCAGAGACAATGGGAGGGTGGCTGCAGGATTCCCCTTCTCTGGACGCCACGGGCTCGTGAGCAGGCTGGTGACGTGTGGGCAGCTCATCCTGAAGCACCGAGAATCCTGGGGGGCAGGGAGCAGCGGGGATCAGGAGCTTCCCTGACAGCCACCCACCTTACACGGCACTCATGAGGTGCCTGCCGTGTGCTGCATCCTGGGACGGGCCATAGTTACGACGTCTGCCTTCCACGCGCCAGCCACGTGGGGACCTCGACAAGGAGGAGTCTACAGATATGCAGAGTGGCCGGGACACAGGCACTGGTCCGTGAACACGGGGACTCCCCACCCAGGGTTACCGATCTGGGAGAGGAAACCAGGAGGGTGCATCTCACAGGGGACTAACGGTGAGCAGGCCTTGGCTGCGACGTGGAGGCACAGAGCGTAAGTGGGGGAGGCGGGAGTTACAGTAAGGACAGCAACAGTGAGGCGTTCGCCACAGGCCGCAGGTCGTGGCTTTGCTCACTGGGTCACATAACTCAAGGTCCAGCTCTTGTTGGAGGGGCCTGGGCTGGGCTACAGACTTTCATGACACCCGGGGGTCACAGTGAAGGTCCCTGCAAAGGTCAGAGGCCGAGGAGGGATAGGCCTTGACCATTTGTTCACAGAGCATCTGCGGTGGGGCAGGCGCTGTTAAATCTGGGCACAGAGCCGGAATCTCTTCCTTCGGTGAGCTCCAGAGGGAAGGGAGCCAGGTGGGGCGCGGGCAGCCAAACTGGCCAGGAAGGTGTCCCAAGGACATATCTGAGCAGACACCCAAGTGAGCTGAGAGGGAAGGACACCCCACCGTGAGGGGACAGAAAGCACCGGGCATGTCCCCAAGGATACACCACAGGGGATGACGGCAGGACAGCTGGGAGGCTCTAGCCAAGAGTCGCTCACGCTGTCCCTAAGACCCACGAGGCCTGAGGCGAGCAGGACACGACAAGGAACGCCCGTGAAAGGACGGAACCCAAGAGGAGAGGGTGCCGTGGAAAGGGGGCAAAGAAATGTTTTAAGAAGAAGGGACTGGTTTTGTGCGTCAGCTGTGCCTAAGGGCGGAGCTCGCCGAGCACCCGGGGCTACAGGCGCAGCTCCCTGATTCGGCAATGAGCCGACCGGCACCCGACCGGTCTGTCTGGAGGCAACAACAGCCTGACTGGCTGGACAGGGCCAGGGAAGCAGGGCCGGGGAAGCCAGCTCTTTGAAGAGATTTCCTATAACACAGATGGAGGAAGAGCACTCACGAGCCCAGCGGCAAGCTCGGGCCAGCCCAGGAGCCAGGGGCTGCCGCAGGAGCGACATTCTTAATTGGACAAAAGGGACTGCGGTCTTAGCAAAGCCAAGGCAGGCGGCCTGCAGGCCGAGGTCACTGCCGGTGGCCGCGAGGCGGTGCCTGAAGACCAGCATTTGAAACAGGAAGCCTGGTCCTCAGCCCAGAACAAATACAGAGAAGCACTGGAGGCCCGAGGCAGAAGAGATGAGGGAGGACAGCGAGCGCAGTGGAACGGAGGACCCGGAGACCTTGATGCCACAGGCCCCAGGGGTCTGAACCATTGCTGGTACAGGAGCAGAGGACAGGGAGAGTGACGGCTCCCCCGTGGGAGCTGGGAGTCGTTGGGCCACGGATCCTGACACAGTGTCGGGGCACAGACGTGGGAGGCTGAGCTGGTGTGAAGGAGTCAGAACTGACGGGAAGGCGCTGGGTGGATCGTGCATGTCAACGGTCATATGGACAGAATGTCTATGTCCCCTTAAAGCCACCCTGAAGCCCAAGGTGATGGCCCAGCAGGTGGGCCTTTGGGAGGTGAGTGGGCGCGGAGGGTGGGCCCTCGTGGTGGAACGCCTGCCCTGATGAGACGGGCGAGAGCTGCTGCTCCTTCCCCCACGGGGGTGAGAGAAGATGGCTCTCACCGCATACTCCCAGTCTCCATGACTGAGAAATAAAGCTGTTTCTAAGCCACACAGTTTATAGTATTTGCTATAGGACACCGAGGTGAGATGGTGACAGAAGAGCAAAGAAGGACCAGGACGGGCACCTTTCAATGGGCAGGGAAGTCTCAGGGCAGCAAGGAGAGAATGTGTGATCACCAAAGGGGATGGACAGTCTCCTTCTAAACAGAAGAAAGGCAGGAGGCCCAGTGGCCTGGATTAATCACACACATGAAGCACACAAAGGCACACACATACCCAGGCACGCCACACATGCGTGCGCACACAGACGCTGCAGTCCAGTGTGATGGTGTGCTCCATCTTGGTGTAGTTGTGACACACACACACACACACACACACGCTGTGGTCCAGTGTGATGGTCTGCTCCATCTCGGTGTAGTTGTGACCGACCGACACACACACACACACACGCTGCGGTCCAGTGTGATGGTCTGCTCCATCTCGGCGTAGCTGTGACCAATCAACATACACACACACACACGCTCCAGTCCAGTGTGATGGTGTGCTCCATCTCGGCGTAGCTGTGACCAACCAACATACACACACACACACGCTCCAGTCCAGTGTGATGGTGTGCTCCATCTTGGTGTAGTTGTCACACACACACACACACACACACACACACACACACACTCTGACCTTCGCTGTGGTCCAGTGTGATGGTCTGCTCTATCTCGGTGTAGCTGTGACTGGCACGCTCCAGAAGAGGCTCTGTGCTGGTCTCCATGAGATGAACAATATCCATTCGGTTGACCTTGGTAAGACACTCAATGAGACTGGTGTCTAGGACATGAGAGAAAAAGGGTTTATGTGGGGTATTCTTTCAAAAACATTCCACTTAGCTGCCTCACTAAAATTCTGATATTTGTACAGGAAACAACTAAAGTGCAAATAAGGGTATTTGTAAAAATAAGCAAAAAAGACTTAAATAAGAGAGAAGCAGGAAAGCATGGCCCAGCACGGCACAGCCCCACAGCAGACCTAGATCACAGGCGGGCCCTTCAGTTCTGAATGTCGGGCGAAACAGACCTTTCAGTATAAGCCTATCCCACACATTGCATGGGATATACTTACACAAAGAAAGTATTCACTGACTACCTGAAGTTTAAGTCTAACTGGTGCCCTCTATTTGACGGCAAGAGGTGGCAGGTGGACACAGACTGATGTGAAAAAGCTTCTGGCTGGAGCTTCAGATGGCCCGGGAAACGCACCCCGAGGCCAGCCGAGGGTGAGACGTGCGCTTGGGTTGCTGCTGCTGGGCGCTCGCTCACAGAGCACTGGGAGAGATCTGCTTCACCCTCCCCACGTGGGCTATTTAGCAGGAAGGATGGGAGGGAGTCACTACCGATAAACAGGGCAATTAAAGCAGTTGTATCCACTGTCAATATTTAGAAAACCTATGACTTTAACATCGTGCCCGCTAGCAGCAGGGCTCCCGCCCGCTGGTCGCAGGAATGCGGCACAGGTATCTTAGGCAGACGCATTCTTTAGAAACGCCATCGCGTGTTCTCGGGGGCTGACGGCCGCACTCGGCCCGAAGGCACCTGTCGTGTGCTTGACTGAGGATGGGAAAGCGTGTGTCGGACACAACCTGGCTGCACCTGCAGCCCATCCTCCTGGAGCCCTGCCTACCGGTGGCGAGTTTCCCGTCCCGCTCCAGCCAGTACTTCAGCAGCGCGTGGCTCTGGTCCTGCAGGGAGTTGGGATTCTCCACCCGAATCTGATGGATCTGCTCCTCGGTGAAGTCCAGCTCTCTTGCTAATTCTGGAAGAGAAGATACGAGTCTGTGAACACAGAAGCCTCAGAGTGGGGGCCTCACACCTGCATGGTTCTGGAAGGAGGTGTCCTCGTGCGGAGTGACAGGGTCACTAGTTTCGACCCACCACCAGTGACTCTCATGTACCTTTGTTCTTCTAAGACTAGCTCTGGACTTTTTCTTTAAACTGAGTATACATAGGATTGGTCACCATCATAGTGCAAATAGGTTTGATGCTATGGTGAGAAATAAGTATAATTCAGTCCCATTTAATTCCAAAATGCAGAAGAGACCATCAGTACTGACTTACACTCTCAGCCAATGCAACGGAAAATAAACCACTGAAACGGCAGGAAGAGGCCATTTCTTGCTCGTAATCATCATCAGGTGACATCGTAAGCCCTGTAATTCCTATCTCCAGTATCTTACTTGGGTACATACAAGTGTGGCTATATTACGGAGGCCGGATAAGTTCCTTCCTCTGACTTGATGTCATATGAACAAGGGTCTAAGAACACTTGGCCCAGGGAAGACGCCACAGAAGTTTCCTTTAAGCTCCACGTCAGGTTCTGCGCGGGCGCCATATGCCGTGGGGAGTGTGCAGGTGAGGGTCCTCTTTGGAGGGCACTTGGCCAATATCTTTCAAAATTAAAAATATACACACCCTTTACCCAGAAACTCCCCTTCTAGGCAGGTGCCTATAGATATACTCACAAAAATCCACCAACGCACAAGTATTTATTGTCAGTACCAGGACACGACTGCGCATCCATCAGCAAGGACCATGGATAAAACCACGGCACCTCCACAAGCCGAACTAAACAGCCATTTAAAAGAATGAGCCAGATACATCTATGATGATAGAATATTTATGAGAAATATTAAGTAACATTTTATTTTTAAGTAATAGGCATAGATGTGAGCACTGCCCAGTTTTTTCAGAAAATGTGAGGAAGTCGGCAGCTGCCTTTCAGGCCTGAGGCCAGGGGACCGACCCGATGCAGGTGAGAGACCAGTGTACACAGCTGTGCATGGATGCAGGGTCTTACGTTTCAATAAGTCTAAAGATATTCCATTTAACACACGTACATAAATACGCGGTTAAGAAACGAAATGAAGTGATCCTGAACGTTACCCATTCAGTACGTCAGCCAGGGGTATATGCCGTCCTCTTTCCCCTTAATTCCTCAATTAAGTAAATCAGCTTTTAAAGACAGTGGCCATCCCTCCTGCCTCCGGCCACTTCTTCCACTTTACCGACGACCTTTGCTAAGGGTGTTTTGGACTCCTACTCACCATCAAATCTTTAAGAGACTTAAAGGAGGCAAATATTAATTTTATACCATCTGTTTCAATAAAGCAGTCACAGGTGATATAA